ATGAAAGCTTAGATCCAGATTAGGACTAATAGGGAGAGTAGCAAGCGATTCAGGAACGAAGTACATAGTAATACCATTTGGGCATTTGATCTTGCACCCTACAAGATGTTTAAGGTCCCCAGCAATGCCGTCAGACGATTTTGGTTTTCTGCTGGAGACCTTTCCCTGCAAAAGAGAGTTAGGCTTTCTTAGCCACCCACATCTTCAAGGGTGGCTGAGAAGCAATAAGTCTAAGTGCAGCATCTAAGAATTTTGGCTTTGGAGCCCTAGCAAACATTCTTGCAGGCGGACAATAGTACTCATAAGAATAAGCAGAATAGTTCTTGGTCTTATGAACATGGCGGTTTGATGAACCGCTCTCATATTCATATGCCTGAGTATGGTTTCCCTGCAAAACATTTGCGTTAGTGCGACTCAGGTGAGTCCTCTGTCTGTATGAAGCCTTTGGACCGTATGAAGCCTTTGGTCTGAGGTTTGTCTTCTTCACGTGAGGTGTCATGATGACATTCATAGGAAGATTCTCCAGACACCTTTTCGGAACCCAGATCTTCTTCATAGGCGGTCCATTCCTGCAGTTAGTACCAATGTACCTGGCAAACACTTCACCATTCTGATTCTTAAACAGTATATAGTTTGCATCAAAGGATTCATCAATGATAATGGGGTTAGCACAGGTGAAGCCAGATAGATTGGATGGGTCTGCTGAAGGTTCCTTTGCAGCAACCCACATGGTTTTGGGGTACTGCTCAGGTTTCCAGTAAGAGCCATCAGCATTCATTTTCCTTACGAACCCAACACCCTCTTTCCTCGGGTTTCGGTTCAGAATCTGCTTTTTGAGGACATCACATAGTGTCTGATGCCCTTTAAGACTTTTGTAGATCCCTGTTTCAAGCAATGTCTTCAACCTAGCATTCTCATCAGCATTAGCAGTGGTATCCTCAGCGGAGGGGTTAGTTACCACATCAACAGTTGAAGATATTGCAACAGTAGTAGCAGTAGAACATTCAGCAACAGAAGTAGCATTATCATGCTCAATGCATTTAAGACATGGTGGTTCAAATCCTTCATGAGTGGGACTGATCTGTTTGGAGTGAAGTGACTCGTTTTCCTTTTGAAGATCTTCATGAACCGCTCTCAATTTCTCAAGATCTTGCTTCCTTTGAAGATAATCATAGGAAAGCTTTTCATGAGTTGTTGAGAGAGTTTCATGACGACTTTCAAGTTCCTGATACTTAACGTGAAGATTTTTTATGTCTTCAATTAAGGATTCAGATCGAGTCATTTCAGCACCTAACAGATCATCGCTTCTGTCTAACAGTTTTTGAATATGTTCCATAGCTTTCTGCTGTTCAGTTGCAATTTTAGCAAGTGTTTTGTAGCTGGGTTTTGAATCACAATCAGAGTCATCGTCACTAGATGTTTGATAGTGAGTAGTGCGTGTGTTTACCTTGGCACCGCGTGCCATGAAGCAGTAGGTAGAAGCGGAGTAGTCCTTGTCATTTGCATCGGTGTCGGTGACGAGGTCATTGTCTTCATATTGAAGATGCTCTTGGCAACGTATGCTGTAGCCAGACTTGCGATGCCTGAATCGGACTCCTCCTCAGACTCCACCTCTGCCTCCTCAGAAGCGGACTCCTCCTCTGAATCCATTTCCTTGCCAACAAACGCACGTGCCTTGCCAGATGAGCTCTTCTTGTGTGATGAAGACTTTGAGGAAGACTTGGACGAAGACTTTGAGTATTTCTTCTTCTTCTTGTCGTCGGAGTCATATTCCTTGCTCTTCTTCTTCTTTTTGTTCTCATTGTCCCACTATGGACACTCAGAGATGAAGTGGCCAGGTTTCTTGCACTTGTGACATGTTTTCTTCTTGTAGTTGTGAGCAGAAGCTTCATCATTCCTTGAGCTTGATCGGGAAGACTTTCTAAAGCCTTTCTTCTTGGTGAATTTTTGGAACTTCTTCACAAGCATAGCAAGTTCCCTTCCAATGTCTTCAGGATCATCAGAACTGCTGTCAGATTCTTCTTCAGATGAGGAAACAGCTTTTGCCTTCAAGGCACGAGTTCGCCCATAGTTTGGACCGTAGATATCTCTTTTCTCAAAAAGCTGAAACTCATGTGTATTGAGCCTCTCAAGTATGTCAGATGGATCGAGTGTCTCGAAATCAGGACGTTCTTGAATCATCAGGGCTAGGATGTCAAATGAACTATCAAGTGATCTCAGTAGTGTCTTGACGACTTCATGTTTGGTGATCTCAGTAGCACCGAGGGCTTGAAGCTCATTTGTGATGTCAGTGAGTCGGTCAAATGTGTGCTGGACATTCTCATTGTCATTTCGCTTGAAGCAGTTGAAGAGGTTGTGAAGGACACTGATTCTCTGATCTCTCTGGGTTGAGATGCCTTCATTGACCTTGGAGAGCCAGTCCCAAACCAGCTTAGATGTCTTCAAAGCACTCACACGGCCATACTGTCCTTTGGTCAGATGACCACAGATGATATTTTTGGCAGTAGAGTCCAGTTGAATGAATTTCTTGACATCAGCAGCAGTGACACCTTCTCCAGCCTTGGGAACGCCGTTCTCGACGACATACCATAGGTCGACGTCAATGGCTTCAAGATGCATGCGCATCTTATTCTTCCAGTAGGGATATTCAGTTCCATCGAAGACGGGGCACGCAGCGGAGACTTTAATTATCCCTGCAGTCGACATAGCTAAAACTCCAAGTGGTTAAACCGAATCACACAGAACAAGGGAGCACCTTGCTCTGATACCAATTAAAAGTGCGTTATATCGACTAGAGGGGGGGTGAATAGGCGATTTTTATGAAAGTCTTCAAAACGTGGAAGTTATGAAGACAAACGATAGAAATAAACCTATTACCATGCAGCGGAAGGTAGACTACACTGGGCAAGCAATAGTCAAGTATTCAATGAAGTGAAAGCACAATGACTTAATAGCAGCAATGTAGTAAGGATCAGGTAGGAAGATATTATGAAGCCATACAGAACATGCAGTCACTCAGTGAAGACAAAAGATAGTGCAAATATACAATGACTTCACAAGGAGCAATAGTAAGTAAAGGGAAGGGAAGATGAAACCAGTGACTCGTTGAAGACAATGATTTGTTGGACCAGTTCCAGTTGCTGTGACAACTGTACGTCTGGTTGGGGCGGCTAGGTATTTAAACCTTAGGATACACAGTCCCGGACACCCAGTCCTGAACACGCAGCTCAGGACACCCAGTCCTCACCGTATTCCCCTTGAGCTAAGGTCACACAGACCTCGCCCAATCACTCTGGTAAGTCTTCAAGGTAGACTCCCAAACCTTCACAGACTTCGTTCACCGGCAATCCACAATGTCTCTTGGATGCTCAGAACGCGACGCCTAACCGGCTGGAGGATGCACAGTCCTCAAGTGTAATAAGTCTTCAGATCACACAGACAAGAAGACTTAAGTGATGCCCAATTCTCTCTGGCTCTGGGTGGTTAGGGCTTTATCCTCGCAAGGAATTCTCTCTCAAAGGCTTCGAGGTGGGTTGCTCTCAAACGACAAAAGCCGTACTCTCAATCTGAGCAGCCAACCGTTTATGGTTGTGGGGGGTGGGCTATTTATAGCCACTTGGCAACCCGACCTGATTTGTCCGAAATGACCCTGGGTCACTAAGGAACTGACACGTGTTCCAACGGTCAGATTTCAAACTCACACGGCAACTTTACTTGGGCTACAAGCAAAGCTGACTTGTCCGACTCTGGACAAGATTCGCTCTCATAGTCTTCACTCGAAGACATAGGTGTTTTTGGTTAGGCATCACTTCAGTCATTCTGACTGGTTCTCTTGGACCCCACTTAACAGTACGGTGGTTCCTATGACTCAACACAAAAGAAAAAGAACTACGAAAGATCTAAGTCTTCGAGCTCCATAGGCTTCATGTGGTGTTTTCTCTTGTCATAGTCTTCAATGTGAATATCTTCATATACCACCTTTGACTTCAATGTCTTCATACATTTTTAGGGGCCATCTCTGGTAGGAAAACCGAATCAATGAGGGACTTCTACCTGTGTTATCCTGCAATTCTCACAAACACATTAGTCCCTCAACTAGGTTTGTCGTCAATACTCCAAAACCAACTAGGGGTGGCACTAGATGCACTTACAGATACTATCCTATGGAAGTTCACGTCTCATGAAGAATACTCGGCGTCGACCGCCTATATGGCGCAGTTTGCGGGACACACGACAAGCATCATGCCTGCTGCTGTTTGGAAGGGTTGGGCCCCTCCGAAATGCAAATTTTTTGCTTGGTTGATAATTCAAAACAGAGTTTGGACAGCCGATCGATTGCACCGTCGTGGATGGCCGAACTGCAACCTCTGCCCGCTTTGCAAGCAAGTCCAGGAAACCGTAGCACACCTTCTCTTCCAATGCAGGTTCTCCTAGCGTGTCTGGATCGAGGTTGCAGCATGGCTCGGTATACATGGTGATGTGGTGAGGAACTGGCGAAATGAGGTTTCGGTTCAAGAATGGTGGATTAAAAATGTGGTTGAGCGTGGAGATCAGAGAAAGGCTATCGCCTCCTTGTTCATGCTCATGTCTTGGAAGAATTGGAAAGAGCGTAATGGAAGGGTTTTCCGTAACACCGCCACTACGACGATGATGCTCATCGCGAAGATAAAAGAGGAGGCCCATCTTTGGGCTATTGCCGGTGCCACCCACTTGAGTATTGTAATGCCACGAGAGTAGATATTTGTCTCCCGCTTTGCGGCCATTTGTCTTAAACCTTCTCCCTTAATCAATGAAAATGACAAATCTTTTGCCTTATTTCAAAAAAAAAGTGGAACCCAATTCGGAGAACAAATTCCACCGGCCGGGAGGCAAACGGGTAGCTACGTAGGACGACCTTCACCGAGAGGGAGCAGAAGCACACATGTACAACTCCACATGACTCGACTGTTGTCTCAGCTCTGAATTCTGAACTCTGAACTCTGAACCCTGCGAAACTGTCGTCATCGGCACTTGAGATCGGGGTTGTCGAGGAGGGCCTCCGGGACGCCGTCCTGGAGGCAGGAGACGGGCGGGATGGTGGGCGTCTGCTGCGCCCCGTAGGCGCTCCAGCAGTAGGGGTCGTCGACGAGCTCGCCGCTGAAGGGCAGCAGCTCGACCTCGGCCATGGTGACGTTGGTGCAGGGCACGGTGTCGCTGCAGGCGAAGTGGATGGGCGCGCTGCGCACGTCGTAGGAGCCCCGGACGTTGGCGTAGGAGACGTCGGTGACGTGCACGGCCGTGGACTGGTTCATGCACCGCTTGTCCTGGCAGTAGTACTGGTCGATGATGATGCAGTTGCGCACGTTCTCCATGGTCACCCCGTCGAAGGCGATGCCGGACACCGACCCCATGCCACCCTGCCATGTCTTGATCCGCAGCCCGTTGTCCGAGTTCCGGATCACCGCGTTCCGCACCGTCACGTTCGCCACGCACGCCTGCGAGTTGTGCACGCCCAGGCTGCCGATGCTGCAATGCAACCACATAGCACTGGAGTGAGTGAGTGCCGACGCAATGCATGTGTGCTCTGTGACATTCTGGTTCATTGTAGTACTACTGAGGTTTGTTATTGGCCGCAAGATAAAAAGTCATGTGACCGGAGACAGAAGCTGGCACGTGTGGTGTGGGACTAGGACACCGAATCGCGGTGCATAACACGACGAGCGGCCAGAGACATGGTGGAAGCTAAGGTGATGCCATCGTGCATTTATAGAGTGCCCTTTGGAGGTTTTCGTCGGGTGTGTTGCTGTTTTCTCCTATAAACCGTATGTATGTGTGTGTGTATGTATGTATATGTACCGGGGCGTGCGCCTACCTTATGCCGTGCCCAGGGCCACACGTTACGTTCTGTATGTCCACGTCGTAGCTCCCGGTCCCGATGGAGATGCAATCATCGCCTGCACGCCAACAAAAAAAAAAATAGTTCGATGCCTTCACGTCATACACACACAGAGAGAGCGAAGTTACTCAAAACAAGAGCAGCCAACAGGAAAAGGAGCAGTTGTGTTGCGTGCGTGGAGTACCGTTGCTGATCTTGGAGTTGTAGATGCCGACACGCTCCGTGTTCTCGACGTGGATGCCGTCGGTGTTGGGGCTGTTGGCCGGGGACCTGATGAATAGCCCGTCGACGAGCACGTCGCTGCAGCCGTCGAACCGGAAGTGGAACTCGGGGCTGTTCTCCACCCTCAGGCCCCGCACCACCAGGTTGCTGCTCTCGAAGAACCTGATCAGCTGTAGGGCGCACGCACACGATAGATGAGCCATGGTCAACAGGTACAAAATGTTCATGTTCTGTTACTACACAGCAAGCGTGGCAGCATTTTGCATACATACATACCGTGGGGCTGTCGCAAGGCCCGTGCAGCGTGGACCCGTTCGGACCCTGAGAGGAAAAGTGGAGGGACTCGTCTGATCATTGAGGTGTCGACCAGAGAGAAATACTGTTTGGGACTTAATTGGGGTGTGATACACTGATACTGATAAGTACCCTGTGGGGCTTGCAGGGGAGGTTCCACCACTCCTCGCCGTTGCCCTCGATGGTGCCGGCGCCGCGCAGCGTCAGGCCGTCCAGGCCGGAGAAGACCAGCCACTGCCGCCGGTTGTCCGACGGTGGCCAGCAGTCCGGCCCGTCCGGCGGCATCAGCACCCCGTCCACCTGCACCCACCATCGGCCGTTGGTTAGAAAGCATTTTCAGTTTTAATAGCGAGCATGGTTCTGATTAGTGCTGGGACTTTCCAGCCTAACACATGAGGGGGGAGCGACACACGTGAAGCTGTGGTCTTTTCCTCTCCGTGACTCCTCCAACTCTTGTCTCCTTCCTCTACCACACGTGACTCCCGGTCAAATTCTCGTAGCTGTTCTCTCCGCTCTTCTCGTAGCTTCATGATGAGAGATGACTCCGGGGAGAGGAAGGAGGGAGAGGGGTAACAATGGCAGAGACCTCTTTCATCTAATCTAGCTTCCCACTGATAATTGCTTACTCATGCACCACCGCGATCAATTCATCATCCACCGACAAGTTATATGTGGTGTCAATAACTGGTAAGCTTGGAATACATTTTGCCCAACAGGAATCACATAAGCGCGCGCATGGTATTGATCAAGCACAAGTGTGTACGTACTACGTACTTGGAACACGAGGCCGGGCTTGCACGGCCCGGAGAAGGTGGTGGTAGAGATGGTGAAGGTGCCGTCGGACGGCACCAGCAGCACGGCCGACTCAACGGCGCAGGCCGCCCTCCACGCCGCCCGGAAGGCCTCGGTGTCGTCCGCCGTGCTCTCGCCCGTCGCGCCGTACGCCCGGACGTCGAACACGCACGGCTCCGGCCGGAACGGCGTGGCCGGGTCAGACGGGACAATGCCGCCCGGCGGCGGGGCCACCAAAGGCGCCGCGTCGTCGTCCGGTGGAACGGCCGGCGACGACGCCACCGTGCCCACCTTCGCGCCAGCCCTGTGCCGAGAGCCGACGCCAGCACGAGGAGGCTTCTTGTGCATGTGGTTCCTCCCGTCGACGCCGACACCGAGCAATGCCGCCAGTACAAGCATCGCCAGCATCAACCGCGGCAGACCCAGCCTCGCAGCCGCCATGGCCAGAGAGTGCAGCAGACACGGCTCGGCAAGCTACAAGAAGCAGGAGGAAATGGAGGGTGTGAGCAATGGCTTTCGAGGGGTTGGAGGTTGAGGCGCGCGTCTGCACGCTTTATGCTCTTGCAGTTGCCGGGACGAACGGGGTTGAGCTGAGCAGAGGCCACGAGCAGCATGACACTTGTCAAAAGGGCAAGGCAATGGGAACAGTGCAAATGGTGGTGGGGTGGGGTGTATGGGCCATCTGGCCATCTCGCCGCCTATCGTTTTCGTCACATGAATCTTTGCAGGGAGTTTGTTTGCTTTTTTTAAATATATTTGTTTGTATTTTTTCTATACATGAGGATAACATGAAAAAAGACCTCATAATTGTGTCTCTTGTAAGCTGTGTTTAGGGAAGATGGAGCGTCGACCCGTTGGCTGGGCAGCTGAGGTTGTAAAATGCCAACAAGGATTAGTCTCTGGGTTAGTCTTTTTTTTTGTAAGTTGTGTTTAGAAAATAGAAATGCGTATAATAAAACTATATAAATGGCGATCGATTGCTGCTAGATTAGCCTAACGTGCCACCATAGGTCAGGTTTAGACGAAGGTTCCAGTGACTCACAAGCTCTTGTCATGTTCCTCCCGTTCGCCTATGATCTCCCGTGGCCGTATAAGTCGAGGGCCAGAGTCAGTGGGCAAGGAGCAAGATGTGACACTTATGATCTGGTCTCTAAAGGAAGGTGTGATCTTAACTAAAGATAACTTGAACACGCCGTAATTGTTTAGGTAACTTCAACGCACGACCTCAAACAGATGTCCGTTTGGGATGGCAATGGGGTCGTGTCCATCCGGATTTTATGGATGCGCCGGCCGTGCGCCCAATGCAGGGCCGCACTTCGGCCGCATCTTATCCGTTCGAAAATATAACAAATATCTGAAATTAAACATGGCAATAGTTGCACGTTTGAAATAGTCTTATTACAACCCAATCGAATTAAAAATAATATCAAAGTCTTATTACAATTCAATTGAAAATTGTTTGCGTGAAAAGAATTTAAATAGATTTATTGCTCGCCAACATGAGTCCACATGTGCTCAACTAAGTCATCCTGGAGCTGGACATGAGTATGCCAATCACGCAATTCCCGATGAAACTCGATAAACTATTCAAAGGTTGCAGGAGGTCGATGCTCAGACTTAACATTTTCGCCCTAAAAATCAGGCTCTTGGTCGTAGATGCTATCATCGTGCTCATCCTCCACGATCATCTTGTGCATGATCACAAAAGTAGTCATCACCTCCCAAAGCTTCTTCGTGCTCCATGTCAATGCAGGGTTACAAACGATACCCCACCGAGACTGAAGCACACCGAAAGCACGCTCCACATCCTTCCTATCACTCTCCTGCATTTGGGCAAACTTATGTCTCTTCTCTCCTTGCGGATTGGGTATGGTCTTTGCTACTTCTTGATCTTGCGTTGGTTTTTCCCTCAAATAGGAAATGGTGATGTAGCAAAGTTGAGATAATTATTTTCCTCAGTTTGAGAATCAATGTATCAATCCAGAGGAGACAACACACAAGTCACTGAATACCTGTGTGACGCCCTCGATTCAATCGTACACTAATCATACACGCAAATGTGTATGATCAAGATGAAGGACTCACGGGAAGATATCACAACACAACTCTAGACACAAATTAAAATAATACAAGCTTTATATTACAAGCCAGGTGCCTCGAGGGCTCGAATACACAAGAGTCAACGGAAGCAACAATATCTGAGTACAGGCATGAGTTAAACAAGTTTTGCCTTAAGAAGACTAGCACAAAAGCAACATTGATCGAAAAGGCAAGGCCTCCTGCCTGGGAGCCTCCTAACTACTCCAAGTCGTCAGCGGCCGTCACGTAGTAGTAGGCACCCACGGGGTAGCAGTAGTCATTAGTGGTGTCGTCTGGCTCCTGGGATCCGTCATCTGGTCGCAACAATCGGGTATGGGGGAAAAGAGGTAGCAAAGCAGCCGTGAGTACTCATCCAAAGTACTCGCAAGCAAGGATCTACACTAAATATGCAACAGTATCAAAGAAAGAGTTTTATATGTGGACTGGGCTGCAGAAATGCCAGAATAGAGGAAAGGCCTAGTACTATCGATGACTAGCATCTTCTGGAAACCACCATCTTGCAGCAACAGGAGGGAGTAGAGTAGCATAAAGTAAAGTAGCAGTAATGTTATCAACCTCGGCCAGAGATCCTTTCTCGACTCCCTGCGAGAAAGCAATCCCAGAGCCATACTATCCAATGCTCATATCCATTTCTCATCTCAAGTATCCAATTCTAGTTGTATCGATCGAGATACAACTCCAAGTGTCCATTACCATAGGACAGACTATCGATAGATGTTTTCTTCCCTGCAGGGGTGCACCAACTTACCCACCACGCTCGATTAACTCTGGCCGGACACACTTTCCTGGGTCATGCCCGGCCTCGGCCAAATAATACACCGCAACCCGACCTAGGCTTAATAGAGAGGTTAACACGCCGGACTAGACCTAGCCCCCAGGGGTCATGGGCCATCTCCCCGGGAACTCCTGCACGTTGCGTACGCAGCCGGTGAGCAGACCTAGCTACCTCCTTAAAAAGGCAGGTGCTTAGCAGTCCAACCCGGCGCGCGCCGCTCAGTCGCTGACGTCTATTAAACTTCGGCTGATGCATACGACGCAGAACGCCCATACTATGACCATGTGATGGTTAGTGCTATCAGGCCAGAGGCCCCTCGGATCAAATATCCAAATCGTAGTGGATTAGGAACGCGCGGTAACAAGCAGAGACTCACGAAAGATGTGACCCCATTGCCCCATCTCGAGTACTTGCGGCAAGGGCTAAGAATGCCCGGCCACGCCTCGTAAGTATCTCGCGGGCACCTTCCAGTTCAACCCGACTCCACACCACTCGCTATTAAGCTCGTGCGGGTATCCCTCAGGGCCGACCCGTCTTTAGTAACATGGTTCAGTGTAAAGTCATAGTAACCATAGTAACTGTGTGTCTAACACCAAGGGGAAAACCCGAGGAATCACCCCGAGTGAATTCCACTCGATGTTATCATCAAGGTGAACGTAAGAGGATCCACCCTCGAGGTTCACACTTGAGGGGTTGCATGACAGAGCCGTAACGGAAGTGGTTAAGGAGGAAATCACGCTCGATGACCTCGACCGTATAGCTACACTACAGAGATCTCATCAGGAGTGATGTAAGAGGTTCCACCCTCGGCACTCAATGGTAACTCTGCAGAGTCATACAACTAGGGGGTGATGTGCGGTGTCGGGGCCTGGACATCGTCCACGTGATCGAGTCATCGAACATAAAGCGGGGCAACTGGGACAAGGTGGGGGTCACTGATGGATCACTAACCAACCTATACTAAGTAGTTTAGGATAAGCAGGTAAGGTATGAAAGCAGGTAACAAAAAAAGGCTATGCATCAGAGTAGGATCATACAGAAAGCATTAGCAGTTCTAATGCAAGCATAAGAGGGAAAGAAATGGGCGATATCAGAATGCTCAAGGGGGGGGTTGCTTGCCTGGTTACTTAGACGAGAAGGAGGGGTCGTCGGTGACATAGTCTAACATAGCGGCATCGGCAACCATCACGGGGTCTACCGAAGGGAAGAGGGGGAGAAACAATAAATACATAGCAAGCAAGAGCATAACAAGACAGCAGGCAGAGCTAGACGTGTTCTAACACGGTGCTACATGCTACCGACGAAGGGGGATAATATCTGGGAAAGTATCCCCAGCGTTTCATGTTTTCGGACAGACGAATCAGAGGGGGAAAGTTGCGTGTTTGCTATGCTAGGGATGTGTGGCATACGAATGGGCTGCGTATTCGTATTCGTCTCGTTGTTCTGAGCAACTTTCATGTATAAAACTTTTTCATCCGAGTTACGGATTATCTTCTATGATTTTTCAAAGAATTAAACAATATCCTGCAATTTAATATTAATTTGAAAATAATGGGTAAAAGCTAGGTGCACCCAGATCTGTGTACATAGAAGTGTACCATAGGGTGACACGCAAGCCAGGGGGGACCCAGTTGACCAGTCAACGTTGACTGGTCAACAGGGTGTGGGGCCCCCTGTCATTGAAACAACAGCTAACATAACAGTTTAATTAGACTAGTTATGTAATTAAGCTAATTAAACAGAGTTAATTAAGTTAATTAACGTATTAATTAATTAACTAATTAATTAATTAATAATTATTTTTAACCCTTTTTAAAAAATAAAAAAAGTAACAGGGGCGTGGGGCCCCCTGGTCAGTGGGCCGGGGGGGCTTAGTGGGTGTCGGGCTAACGGGGCTGTGGGCGCCCGTGCCCGAGAGGCGCGGTCGGGGCAATGCTTGCCTGGGCATGGCACGAGGCCACCGGGCGCGACGCGGCTCGGCCAGAGCGGCACCAGACGCAGGGCGAGGTCGCCGGCGATGGTGGAGCTGCCGGACGGAGCGGTGGGGGGGAAGCGATCGCGGTCACGCGGCTACGGCCAAGGGCAAGGGCAGAGGAAGGCGGTGAGCGGCACGAGGGCCGGCAGGAGTAAGCGGGCGCGACGGCCAGGGCGGGCGCCGGCGTAGCCAGTGAGCGAGAGGGCGCCGGCGGTAGCGGCAGGGCTGCATGGGCGGTGGTGGCTCGGGCGGAGCAGGGCCGCGACGGGGCAGGGGCAATGGGAGGCGGCGACGGACAGGGGCTCGGCGACCGGACGGTCGGCGCACGAGCAACACAAGCACATGGCGGGCAAGGCGCTTAGCGAGCGAGGCCAGGCGGGTGAGGAGGAGATGGAGCTGCGGACGGCGAGGTCAGGACGCGGCGGCAGCGGGTGGCTGCTACAGGAGTAGGCAGGTGAGCAGCTGCCGGAGTTCGGCGAAACTCGGGTGCGGCGATTCAGAGCACGCTGGACGTGCGGATGCGTGCGTTGGGTCGCTGCGAACATGCTAAGCACGCCCGCGAGCACGAACGCGAGCAGCGGAGGCTTTGGC